TATTTTTAGACTTTAAAAAGGCTTTTGATACTGTGAATCCTGAAGAATTCATAAATAAATTGAAACAAATTAACTTTTCTCAAGCTCTAAACTGGTTCAAATCATATCTGGGTTGTAGACAGCAATGTGTTAAAATTTGTGGTGTGAAGTCATCACTTCAAAAATGCAAACTAGGTGTACCACAAGGTTCGATATTGGGTCCTTTGCTTTTATTTTGTTTATATATATATATATAAATGATTTACCTGAAAATTGCAAGGAGGTTGGTTGTAAAATGTATGCAGATGACAATTATTTATGTAACAGCAAAAACTTCTCATCTGGCTGCAGAATTGTTAACCAGGCAACCGGTCAGTGTTTCCCAGTGGCTGCAGGATAACTGTTTAACTTGAAATTATAACAAAATGGTTTCAATGAGTTTTTCACTAAACAACAAAGCGCTGGATGTATTTAAAATCAAAATTGACAAAAAGGAAATTAAAAAAGTGAGTGAATTTAAATATTTAGGTGTCATTGTAGACTAAGCTTAAGTTTGAAGCCCATATTAAGAAAATGTTTGATAAGACCATGTATATCTCTTAAAGCAGCTCAAATGTTTATGTATACTATGATATTTTCACATATGACCTATTGTGCGATAATTTGGGGTCAGGCTTCCCAATCAGTTAAGCCTGTAATGTAATTATACAAACAAACACAACATATAGGCTACTCAAATAGTTATCTGTATATACATGTGTACTTGTGTTGTTTCTTGTGATGATTGTGTTTGTTTTTTATTAGGATGTTTTGATTTTATGTAAAAGCCTAACCAGGGACTTAGGCTGCAAACTTATACAAGGACATGCAAACTTTATGCTATGTGTCCTATGTACACGGCAATGGTTGTATGTGTGTAAAAATGCCTAGTGTATTGTCCCTGTTAAATAAAAAAACAAATAAAAAATAAACGTGAATTAAATTGAATATTTAGATGCTCCTCACAGATGAACCTCTTCATCACTGATCATAGAGACACTGCCCCATTATGCTGTTTGACATTTATAGACAATTCATACTGAAAAAAGTATACATTATTGCTATATTTATAATAATTATATGAATTTTTACTGAACTTAATTAAGCTGTATGAGTATACTGTGCTACTGACCTAACAAACTAAGAGGCCCTGAATGAGAGTGACTTGATTAATATAACCTGTCACTTGTGTGAACCCAGCTTGACCTAACCCAGGTTTCCTTCTCTCCAAGATCTACAAGAGCACAGCCAGCCATAACACAGCCTGAAAGGCTGATCAACGAAATGGACACCACCTGCTTAAATACAACGGGACTGAGAAGCCAAAGAACTAGAGTAGTCCCTTCTTTCCATGGCTGAATGCAGGCAGGCGTCCAACTTGTCAAAACTACACAGTGCCTTGACCTGCACTTAAATAAAATAAACAGAGCCAACGTTTTCCATTAGGGCACAGCTGAGTGATGTCAGCTCTGGCACAGTCCTGGTGATGTAACATCACGCACGCAAATAACCACACTAAACAGAAAAGACAGAGCTGCTCTGGCCGTAAGGGACCGTGACAGACTGCGCTTTAGCTTAAGCCATTACCAAAGGAGCCATTTAACAACATCAATTAATCAATCAGACCAGTCAGGAAATTAAATTGGAAAGTGCCTCATCAAGGAGAGCAAGTTTTGATGCAGAATGTCTTATATTTTAGAATGGTGGTGAGATGAAAAAAAAAGCACAACAGTGAGGGGGAAAAGGTCTCATTTGGATTGTATCCCAGCTTCTAAAAATCTCACTTCATTAGCAAAATTGGGCAGAGAAACTAGCAAGGACTTTAAGTAAACTTCGGAACCAAAACAGAAACGATGGCAGAATACGAAATGATGAAGAACCCAAACAGCTGTCTTCTACAAGATGCACTGATTAGCGTATTTATATATTTTGAAACTAATCTCGCATGAGAGATTGTCGGGTCAAAGTGGGACTGATTGTGTGCTTGCAGTTTATCTCAGCTGATTAGTAACAGGGCCGTACGTTGGTTTAAGACGACAAGAGACCAATACTGATGACAGGAAGTGCCCATCAATAACCAGACAGTGAGTCTCAGGTTCAGTTTCACTCCATCTGTCTCAAACCAGCATTCAGTTTCGCTTCTTTCCCCCTCATTCACCCCATCACCTCGCATGTATCCCCAGGTGGCCCATATGTGCAAAGCGGCAGTCTGTATCTGCATCCCCTTAGGACACGTTAGGAAAAGAAACAGCACAGTGGCTTTCTCTTCAGCACTCTCAGCAGAGCCCTGATCAATCGGATCAATGGAGGTGATCAGCATTATGAGCTCTGATCAGCCCGTGTGGGGAACCGGCTAATCCAGTTAAACTATTAGCAAGCTGGGACAGATGAGCCCGTTGGGCATGGAGCCCATCTATGAGGTTTGCTTATTAGCACACTGCCATATGGAGAGAATAGAAGTACACAGTCATGAATGTAGGAACAAGACACGAGGAAGATCTGCATTCGCTGGCAGCTGATCTGGTGCGACAGAGTCAGAGCACTTGAGCTAACATGACCGGTGGCTTCTGGTTGAGATGTGAGGCGTAGGGCTGGAGGCTACAAGGAGAGGGAAGGGGTGACACCCTGCCCTGGGTAAACACAAAGACAGAATGGCCCCGTGCTGCAGGTCACCCTTCAGCTTGTGATTGAGCATGTGGATCAAACAACATTAAATGCACTACAGCTTATGCTACATAAATCCATTTGCAGCTCCGCAATTACCAGCCGCAGCCTTCAACCTGCGCTCACACTCGCCACCCATCTGGGAGGCCGTTTAAAACACAAGACCTGTCCCACGGTTAGCGAGCGAGTGACTGAGCGAGGGACCGGTGGAGGAAACTTACAGGTCTGCTGGCTGAGTAAATCGCATTAATCATCAGTCCTGATGTTGTTTTTCCTGCTGCTGCATTTCATTTGTTTCATATTTAGATGCTCCTCACAGATGAGTGTCTGCAGGCGTTCACGTAGACTGCCGATGGCAGAGGAGGCCGAATGCCGATGGCATTAAACAGCTCTGCCCGAACCTACCATAAATTAAGGCGGGCGTACACGGTGCGATTCTGAAGGTCAGAACGTCGTGAGCTCTGGCACATGTCACGATTGAGTTTATCCGAAAATCGTACGGAGGCAGTCACACACGACACGAATTTACTACGATTTTACAAACTCTGACGAAAGCATTACGTTTCGCGTATGGATCGCCAAATCGTCTCGTTCAACCGCACATACGCCACGAATTAAAAAAATTAAATTTTTTTTTACATGTTTGAAAATTATTGGGAGGCCGGGAGGTGCTCGTAACGTCTCGGATCGGCCCGTAATTCTTCTCACACGGTACGAGCCACGACCATGCGAGCATCTGCGATTTTCTCCCGAGAGAAAAAAATCGCCTGTGAGCTCGTACGACAGCAAAACTCGCACCATGTACGCCCGCCTTTACACAGCCACATTAGAAGCTACTCCAGAGAGGAAAAAAACAGCGCTAGTAGACCAAAAGTAATAAGCTAAACATACGATATGGCCTTCTTTACAAATGTGTCTTTTTCAATTACATCCTCTCCTGTAAAGAAACAAGATTGGCAGACAGAGACAGCAGACATCCTCAGTGGGGTAAGAGAGGTGTCAGATGTAGTTGGAAGAGGACGAGAAGAGAAAGGACAGGAGGAAAGGTGGAGAGGGGTTGAAGAGAGAGAAATTTGGTCATCACAACACTGTTTCAACATATGAACGGAAGGGATTTAAACAATCTCTGCATGAATGATGTGCCTCTATTACACTGCAGAGACTTCAAACTCTGACTACAGAGACAAGACGTTGCCTGAACAAATGAAACCACCTCAAAGCGGCAAAAAAATGAAGATGTGATATTTTCCATTCAGCCTGGGAGCAATCGGAGATGGAGGGAAGACTTTATGCTGCTACTGCATGAAGATATCAAAGGATCCAGAGTTTATGCTGCTATAAGCATGAACGTATTAAAGGATCCCATGGTGCACCTTTGATATAGATGGCTGCTCCCCCATTATGATTACTCCTCCCACTACCATAGCTCACTGTGTGTATGTTTTACATTGTGTCTGTATTTTATCAGAGCTTTTCTATCTCTAGTTTCAATGCAGTCAAACTAATCAGTATTAGAATGACAAAACCTGTTCTCGCTCCATTTCTGAACGAATTAATGTCCCAAATAGTCACAACCTGTTCTTTTCTTTATTATACGCATATAATAAGGATGCACCAATATAAAAATTCTGGTTGATAATTATTTTCATGTTATGACCGATATCCAATAAATGTTAATATTAAAATTATATTCTCTAAATAATAAAAAATTATACAAGTAAATTTATGCATCACAACATTATAGCATACATTTTATTACAATTTATTAAATTTATGTTCATTATGAGATTTGTTAAAGATGAAATTTAACAGTGTTCAATTTTTAGTGTTGAACTCTAAGTGAGCAAGATGATTGCAAAAGTAAAAAAAAAAGTTAAAATAGAGGAAATGAGCATGCACTTTTTTTACGATATTTTTTTTTTTTTAAGTAAAATGGTAGTACAGTATGTGTTTATAATTCTATGTAATCAAACACTTTTATTCAGCAATGATGCGTTACAATGACAAAAGATGAAAGTAAAGACTTGTACATTGTTACAAAAGATTTCTATTTAAAATAAATCCTGTTCTTCTGAACTTTCTACTCATCAAAGAGACATGGAAAAAAAAATCTATAAAATCAAGCATAACCTATATTGTACTGATATGTCATGCATCCCTAGCATATACACAATTTATATTAGTCTACAAAACTAATTTCAAGCATTTAAGCAACTTAATCTTTTTATTTAAAGGTTAAGGTCATAAGAAGCAAATCCGGTTAATCTGATAATGCAAGCACATGAAGTCACATGGTTACAGACATATCTACAGCTTACCTTACTGGAGGGAGTCTATCAGCAGAGCCAAAGACCTGCACAGAAACAGAGAGAGAGAGAGAGAAGGATCATTACTGATGTAGCTCGAAGCTCCACAAATTGAGCCCCTGCTGTTCAGGTCTACATCTACCCACCCTGTCATCGTCCTGTATTCCTCGGACCAAATGTGGGTAAAAAAGAAACTACATGACTTCTTAAGCACAATAGATCACAGAAAAAACACAGAGATCAGGGCTTAGGATGGCTGTAACATTTAAAATGAAGTTTATATATTAAGGTCGAAATGAATCAAATGAAAATTCAGCATATAAAGGTTCATCTGCTTTATGAATACAAAGTCATCATCAACCTGCATTTTCCCCATGAGGAAGTAGAAATATGAGAGAATATGATCCTCATGCATGCAGCTTTATTTTCAGGAAAGGAGCAGTGCTCTATTGTTCGAGCCTGCATGAGATGTCCTAGTGGATGGAATTCTGGGGCAAGAACTTAAGGGATCAGGGGGCCGCTGGTCCTTGGCATTTAACCCCCTGAGCCTCAGTACTTTGGACCTTTGCATCCCAACCCTGCATGTCAAACGTCAATCCTCACGGATGAGCCGGCCAGCTGCTCGACGATGTACATAAATAATGCAATGCTATTGGCTTCAGCTATGAATCATTCATTCATGTTATGCACCTATTTATGCATGCACACAGGACTGCAGACTCTTTTTCCATGTAACTTTATTCTTAGACATGTTAAAAAAATATCACTGAAAGAGGAGTTCATGGTCATATTTACAGATGAGATTTGTTGCTCTCGATAAAGAAACACATCTCACAGGACTCAATGAAAGATTTTTCTGTCGTTCTCAGATTTGCTCACACTACCCATGTGATCTATCTGCCAATTAACACACCAGCAGCAACACTAACAACTACACTTGACGGATTCCACAGCGGATGTTGTTTATAATCCTATTGTAAACCACAGTCTCCCGCTTGGGGATACTGCAAGAATGGAACAGAGAAAGAAAAAGACAAAGAGCAAGCGAGAGTGATAGTAAGCAGTCTGCCAGCAGGTGAGGATTAGTAGTCTATCATAATCTGTTTGTTTGTTTATGATTTAACGCCATGCGAGTGTAGCGAATCAGCTCATAAGGGAAATATGAATAATTAATGTCTAAAAATATCAAAGACAACATACACCATGACCTGAAGTATATGTGTGTTCATTCAAAGAAAGGTTTTCCTATGAATTAATTAGTAGAAAAGTCCATTTCTACTGTGCATTGTGCCTCTTGCTATTGAACATGCAGTGATTTTCCCTACTTACATTCCTGTGGGTCATAAAACCAGTGATATCAGCATTAGTTGCCATGGGGACCAGGGGGGCCTGGTGTCGTTGCAGACATCCTGGCACCCAGTTTATTGGGTGAGGGGACTGTGACGATTTGTTAATCTAATGAATAACTGATTTGTTAAATCAAATGAAAAATTGTGTTTTTGATTTGACGCTACACGAGCTACCTCGGCTATATTCATGGCGAGAACGAGGTTAGTTAAGTTAAATTAAGTTTTTAAATTTGATCTTAGATAAAAATTCTAAAACTAAATCTGGCCTTACTTCATTAAAAATCTTTCCATAAAAGTCAACAGAAAAATAATGAGTTCTGACAGACTTTAAACTATTACAATCTATCAAAATATGCTTCAAATATAATGGATTCTGGCATAAAGAACATAAAGGAGGATCTTCACCCACCAACAGAAAACTATGGGTTAGTTTGGAATGTCCTATTCGACAGCGAGTGTAGACAATATGATCCCATCGATTTTCAAAGTGGGGACAACGTTTTACACCAACTACAGGATTGATTTTGTATAGTTTGTTTGTTGTACATTTATACCATTCAGCTTGCCATTTCTTATAAATATAAGTGTTTAGTCGATCATAATGGGATTTTACCTGTGCAGTATTTAGCAAATCAGCACAGCAGAGAAGGGTTACACAAGACTGAGTCCAGCATTTCTACACTGACTCTTCAGAGCTCCTCTCCCTCACAGATCCCTTGCACCTGATCATTCTCAAGAGATATAGACACATGCTGTCGAAAATCTACAAGATTTGATTACAGAAATTTTGGCAGAGAAAAACAAGTAGGTGTGAGAAATAAGGTTCAATCAAAGTAAGTTTCAGCTGATAGCTTGGCAGAAAGAGCTTGCATTTACAGTTGATAAAATCCACTATAAAACATGATGGATGCACACGGGCAATAAGCATGACTGCATATCACTCTCAATGAAGAATACTGCAGGCAAATTCAAAAATGCATTGCAATATTATTGACTGATTCGATAATTTTTAATGCTATAACTATTTTTCTAAAAACAATGTTAATGCATTTTTTTTTCTTTAACTGCCATTTTTTTTCTTATATTTTTGTCAACCGTATATTTTAACATAACTGTGCTATCAGTGCTTTCCACACATCTTTCAATTCGAAAGCACAGTTTTAGCAATCAAACATGCCATTTGTATTTCCATTCAAATAATGTTCGAAGTTTGATTTCTAATTTGACAGCCCTAGATCAACCTTAAAGGAGACAGTTCACCCTAAAATAAAAATTCTGTCATTAATTACCCCCAAGTTATTACAAACCCATTCAAATTATTATAAACAAAATCTCTCTACACTAGATGCGATGCTCTGACAGTAAACTGATGCTTAGTTCTATTGATGACATACTGACACAAAGGACAAATGATCTGCAATAGTCATTTTATTGTGTCCAGAGTAGACAGCCTGTAGTTGTTGCGGTGCGATGTGATGCGAGCAATAACAGTCACGTCCGGTGTAGACACGGTGTAAGACTTTTGTTCATCTTCAAAACAAATCTTTAAAACAAGTATGGTAAACAGAACCTCATTTGTTCTTGCACATCAAGAATGCATCTTTGAGCTTACTTTTACCATATTTGATGAGCTCCATGTATGTGCGTTGAATAAAAGGCTAAATTATATCTGTTCAGCATATAAAGTGATAGCGTCTCTCCAGAACACTTGGATTAAACTGCTTGGTTCACATTAATTAGTTTTACAATGTCTTTAAGAACTTTTTGAGTGGTCAAAGTTGTGGTGAAATGGACTTTCAATGGAGGGACAGGAATCTCTCGGATTTTATTAAAAATATCTTCATTTGTGTTTCAAAGATAAACAAATGAGTTTAAAATGACATGAGGGTGAGTTAAGAACTATTTGTTTTTAGGAGGGTGAGCTAACTCTTTAAAAAGGAGTTTCAAGACTCCTACATTACGTTTCACTTCATCCTATCAGTTGCGCTCTGTCTAAGAAAGTGTCCTGTGAATTCACCATATACAATTGCTATCCTGACTCAAATTAAACGCTAGGTACCGCCCAATATTCCACTGTGCCAATTATAAATTGGCTGCTGTTTTTTGAGTACTTGTAACCATCTCATCGCACACAACGATGGCAAATCTGGCACAGCTGTATCCTTCAATCCCCTACAGAGGCATTTTTATCCATTCAAGTCACCATTCAAGAGTGCTGAAGGGACAAGTTAACTGAGGCCATGGGAGGGAAAACATTCCACAACGGAAAAATAGAGGGAATCTCTTATTAAGCAAGTACATTCACTTCTAATCAGAGTGGCTGAAGTTCATGAGGTGACATTTGCGAGCTGACAAGCACAGGGCCCGTCATGCTAATGCTGCAGAGTAATTAATCTGCCCCCGATGGAACCCAAACCACTAAAGGTCACTCACAGACACGCTTTCTCTCTTTGTATCTCTCTCACACACAAGTATCTCCAACTGAACAGCCCCAATCCACAGCTAAGACCAAACGGAGAGAGGAGGAAGTGCATCAAAACAATGTATCTTCTGGTACAGAGTGTTCTGCACCTCTGCTTCTATCTGTATTTGTGTGTGCATTTTCTATCACCCCTGTTGTTGCCATTCTTCTGCTGACAGGTGAGATATGAGCCTTACCTTGACCTGTGAATCACACGTGGAGGAGAAATGCTGGCTTTTCTTGAGTTAATGCAAATGGAATCAGCGCTGGAATATTCTTCTCTGCTGTGGGATCTATTCAACCGACACAGACTACTGATCCTTCACTGCTTATAAAACTCACACTCATCTAAAGGAACAAGCCTTTCATTATAACCCATCTCTGGGTTTGTGTATGGAGAACTGTATTAAAGGGACATGTCAGGCAAAAAAATAGATATTCTATCAACATTTACACACCCTCATGTCATTTCAAACCTGTTTCAACTGTCCATATGTTGTTTTGCATATCACTGACTTTGTATGGACAAAAATACATACAACATTTTTTTTCTTTTGCAACAGAAGATAGAAGGTCATACAGGTTTGGAACAAAATGAGGGTGAGTAAATGACATTTTAATTTGGGTGAACTACCCCGCCTTGAAGGAACAGAAGAACATGCCGTTTGGAGACAGGCTGATGGTTTGTTAATGAAGATGTTGCTTTCATATGCAAGGTCAAATGTACCTGCATGTCTCTCTGCATTACTCCTGTGTTCAGCTTTTCCCGACCTCCTTTGCATATTGAGTCCCAGCAGGAGAATACAGTTAGTAAGATGGATCCTTGCACTCATGATTGGTGGGCCAGCTGAGATCTGATATCTATAAGTGAAAGTGGTTAGTGCAAGTGGTACACTAGGGGTGTCCCCGACTAAGGATTTTCATAGTCGAATCGGAATTTTCGAATCTTGCCGATATTCGACTGATAGTCGAATCGTATGTTTTGGGGGCGGGGCAAAATACATTACCAAGAGTCAAGTCAGACATTCGACAGTCATAATTACGTTAACACAGGGAAAATGTGTAACGGACGCCTCGCAGATACAAGATTCAAGATTTTTTATTTGTCACATACATGGTTATATAGAGAATATATGACCAGCAGTGAAATGTAAGTCAGGTTATAATGAGAGCACTATTGTAAAACGGGGTAAATAATGTTTTATGTTTTGATTAAAAGATAGTTAACATTAAACGC